TAAAGAGGGCCGTGTCTTGGGTCAAAAGTGCGCTCTCCAACAGCAAGCTTGCGAGTCTCGGCGAGGTAAAAGACTTCAAAGTCTTTGGCGCCAGGGAAGCTTGGAACCAGGTCTTGAGGCTCTACTCTCCTGACGGTGGTCAGCTTACCAAAAAGGGCATTGCGTCCTCGGGTGAACCCGTCCATCCTCTCACGGAATGGATCCTCAAGGACGCAGAACCATTCGGGGTGCGCACAGCCTTAGATCTTACTCTTCTGCATAAGCAAAGAGACGATTTTCGACTTGCCTTTGCCAAAAGTTGGAACGACCAAGATGTGGATGTCGTTATCGGCCCGTCGTTCGTCGGCCCAGCTTGTGCCCACGACACTGCGTTCTACTGGTCCTACACGTCGCTCTACAATCTTGTCGATTACCCCGGTGTAGTAATTCCCACGCCCATACGAGCTGAATCTGGCGAGCAATACGGCAAAGACTATATACCATTAAGCGATGCTTGTCTGCGAGTCAAGCAGCTCTGGGAGGGTGGTGACTTCGTGGGTGCTCCCGTGAACTTGCAGGTTGTGGCGCGGAGGCATCACGATAACGAGCTTTTTGGCGCACTTCAGATTCTGAAACACATTCTAGATTTGCCTTGAATGAGCTGGCGCCAGGGAATGGTTGCCGCACATGACAAAAAGGACCACCTATTAGATAAAACAGATTTCCATCCTGATCGATCTCCAGGAATTTAGTCATTTATTATGGGCATCTCCGCCGTTTCGAAACGCCAATGCGATGCTATTTGTAAAATTCCATTTACCTCTTATTGATCACAACAGTAGCAGCCAGCGCGCCCATTACCAGATTTGCTCTATAGGTGTAGGTTGGAGAATCCAGTGAGAAAAGTTGAGATATGCAATTGCAAATATTAATAGGGACATTTTAAATTAGTAACTAGTATTTTATTCTATACAAATGCTTTATTTTGTTTTATTTCTTGCATTCTGCTGCCGCTACCCTAGACCTTAGATTTACATCGAATACGAACGTATTCC